AGGTACTTGGGTAAGAAGGAGGGAAAGCTGGAGGGCAAAAGCAGACACTTTTCGTAAGATGAAGTGAATGCCTATTTTGTACGCAGCATAGCTTGTACCTTCCAGCTGTCTCTTTGCACCTATCGCCGTGCAAAAGCCCTGTCAATCCTAATCGGGGCAAAAATTTGCGAACGTCAGAAGTCAGAGAACAGCTGGTCTCCTAGTTTTCTGCTTTTCCTCTCATTTTTTAAACTGTTATCCAGTTTATTCGGGTGTAAGGCCGTTCTATGTGAGTTGCGAAGAGGTATCATAAGGTTATCTTCTAAGGACAATCTTGTAAAAATATTAGATTTTTAGTATGATGATATGTGTATATCGTCGAAAGGCAACGAAAACTGAGCTTAACTTAGCCGCAGTTTTGATAACTTTAGCTTAGGACAGCTATTGAAATACTATTTGCGTTTATAGGGAAAACCCTTCTCAATGTGCTTTTACCAATGGAGTTGATGTGAGAGCACCAAATTTGGAAGATATTAATGATCGACTAAGAAAGCCAATTTATAAGGGTTTGACTGTTATCATTATAGTTGTTGGATTTGAATGCGGTATATTGACTTACTTCTAATAATCGGTTTTTGAATATATAGCTACAAAGGTTACCGTTTTCGCAAGGGACATGGAATTGGCCTTACACACTGTGAGCATGTGGCCTTTCGGGGCTTATACCCGGGTATACACGATAATTGACTTATGTGACATTTTCTCTTTTTACTTTAATTGTCAATACTTATGCGGACTGCACCAGGAGCCGGATTTATCATTGAGTTTACCTAGGGTAAATGCGTCCACGCCCCTACCTTAGCGATGCACCGAGATTCATCATTTTTGTTACCACTACCTCAACCACAAAAAGAAGGTAAATATGTACCTGTCGTTGAGGCAGGGTTTCGCAAGTGCCTTACCTTCTCACAACTGACCCAGAGGTGATGGGAATTGGCGCATTTGAGAACACCGCATGACGTATTCGCGGTGAATGTTAACTGTCTCTCACTAGGCACTGCACGGAATATATGATATAATTCGTAATAGATTCAATGTTTAAATACAATAAAACATTCAACATTGAAATAGTAATTACAAAGAGCATGAACTGAAAAAAAAACAAGGCATTTGGGATAACATATAAAACCA